ATTCTGTTTGCGCATTTAGGAGGGCAGTTGGCGTTGAATGCTTATTCGGATTTGGGGAAGACGCAGTAGATATCTACGGATGTGTGGTATACGAAGTGATAGTGATATACAATGAGAGAGATATGAGAAGAATGGTGATACGAATGGTAGTCACTGATATTCAAAGAGTGGCTGTAGTTGGCTAACAATGGGTAAAGTGTGATCAACGCCTAGCATGATGGCTAAGCATTACTAGGTGGGTGTCTAGAACAGCTTGTGCTCCAGAGTCATCTCGGATTCAGGCTGCAGTCCAACGCACGCCCGGAAGATGTTGGTCAAGGCACTGCGCTGCTTGGTCAGCGAGTTGACCACAGGAGTGCCAGGGGGAGTCAGAGGCGCCTTGAGCATGTAGCTGAGCACGCTGAGCACGCTGTGGAAGCCCTTGTACTCGGCCGCCTCGTCCGACTTCCAGCTGATGCGGGTCATCATCTCCGCAATCAGCACCAGATCAATGATCAAGGGAGACGCCAGCAGGGAGTCCTCGCAGATGTTGAACAGACTGATGGTCTGGTGGCCACCCATGAAGATCTCCGCGTAGTACTCGTCGAGCGCGCGCTTGTTGTCGCCCACCGCAGGCATGTACTTGATCACCACGGTGTGGTCGGGGTGCTCGTCCTCGGCGTAGAGGATCTTGTTAGCCGCGACCATGTCGTCCACCACGTTGGACTTGGAGATCTCCTTGGACCGGAACTGCTTCTGGGAGCTCAAGTTCTTGCCGTCGTTGTTGCCCAGGTGGTTGTAGCTGGCAATCGAGGTGAGCTTGATACCGGCGTTGATCAAGAAGTCAACCAGAGCCGACTTCATTTTGGTCTGGCCAGACTTGAAGTCGTCTCCGCCAATGAAGGCCTTGTGCTGCTCAGCCAACTGGATGGCACCGGGAACAAAGGTGTTCTGGGGAGAGCCGTTGATGAAGGGAACGTTGTCCAGGATACAGGCCACAGCAAAGACAGTGGACGGGGACACCTCCAGGTGGCCGGTCTTGATAGCGTTGAGGAGGTTGTCGGCCGTGTCATTGACGCCAGGCAGGATGTCGGCGTAACGCTCGGTGTTGGCAGTCCACATCACGATGACCTTGTCGAGGCCGTTCTGAGCCTTGAAGTCGCTGTTTGGGTCAGTGAGGAAGCAATAATTACTCGAAAGCAGACTCACCGAATGTCCTGCTGGATCTTCTCAACATGAGCCCAGCATGCCTTGGAGCCCTCGAGCACATTGTCGGCCCGGTCCTCCTGGTTGGCAGCGATAAAGTCCGGGTAGTAGATACTAGGCAGGGGCTTCATCTCGGCCATCTCCTTACGAACCTGCTGCTTGAGGGTAGGCTCCAGGACCTGGGCACGGTCCATGGAATCGGCAAGGTTCAGGCTGCTAATGTCCCAGCCACCAATAGCGAGATCATTGGGGTGGACCATGGGCAGCATGTCGTGGAAAGGAATGTTAATCTCCTCACCGGTCTTGGCGTCAGTACCGAGCTTGATGGTGGAACCCATGACCACAGAGCCGTAGTAGTTGGAGGCGCGCATGCCCTCGCGGGTCTCCCATTCGAGACCACGGCGGTTGGCAAGGATACCTGCGGTCACGGTGGAACCATTGTTACCACCCCAGCCGACCATCATGACGCCCACCTTGCCCACCTTGCGGTCGACCTTGAAGTGGTAGTTGGTGGCCTTGGGAGTGGCAACGAGCTTGTTGTCGGCAGTGCGGGTGATATCAGTGGTATGATAAGCATACTGGCTTCTGATTTCATTGTCGGTGTACACGACGTTGGGCGAGTTGACGGTAAACAAAGGAGCGTTGGCACGAGCGGACCCGTTCACGGCGCCATTGGCAGCAACATCCGAGCTTGCGTGGGGAGCCATTGTTCACAGTTGACAGATTGGAGTGCGAGACAGATAATACGAGTGTTCAGACTGCGAGTTGTTTACTGGACGTATAATGCGTAGTCCGGTGCCCCACCACGGTTGGATGAGCGCCGGCCGTTGAACGGGTGGTGCCGCCTAAAGGAAAGGAGACAGATTAGCCATAAGAAGACCCTGGAAAGTGGGATTGCTTGGAGGAAGGTCCAATTGCTGTTCCTGGAGCACTGGGATAGGGGCAGCCATCGTCGGGAGACCGCGGAGAATGGTGGGGAACTTACGAGTTAAGAAGTGTGGCGAAAATTTTGACGGTTTATATTCGACCACGCCTCAGAGAGTGTGATCAGAAGTTGAATTGAACGACGGGAAGACGATTGCTAACGAACTGAAGGTATTGATGGGTGGTAGAAGGAGGAAGGGTCGAGGGAAAGCGAGGAGGGAGCGGTACTTATACGGCGGGTCACGTTGCTGACCGTATCCGGATCCAAACTGCTCCGCACCCCCAACCAGCTCAACAGTGCACTAGTCCACCTTCCTGGCAAATGACAGGCTTCAGGGATTGTCTAGCGAGGTGTTGACTTCCGAGCGCCCGCGTAAAAGCGTAAATGGCCAAGTATGTCCAGCACATCCCACAAATGACAATTGCGGTGAGCAGATCGTGCCTATGTCTACCGGACACTCATGAGTTTGACTGGTGAATGAGAGGCTAGATAATGATACGGAGTGAATGTGGCTTACGGATTGTGACTCTCGAGTACCTTGAATCTATTCCTTCCAGCTCAAAATGGCCATTCCGCTATACAACTCTGCCATAGCCTGGCAGTGTCTCGATAAAGGCCCGCTGTGCCGTTCCCGGCATTGGCCTGCCGCTAGCCCACGAACGGCGAGATAGAATCATGGGTGCCATGATTATCCCCAGGAAAAAGCCCAGCAGCGGTGTCCTAAAGATGGGACGAAGACAGTTGAACTCAAGGACTGGCACCGGACTCCCCAGGCCCGGGACGGAATGTGGCCTGGGCTCCATCCATCATCGATGGTGGGTCGGTTACTAGCAGGCAGTCGGAGTCGCGGGGCTCCGCCCGCGAATCGCGATAATGAGGAGTTGATTGCCGACGCTGACACCAGACTGAAGCGAGACTTGTGCCAGTTAATATTGCAGAATATATGCCAGGAGGCTGCTTCATAGGAGAAGAATAGTCATGAGATATAATGCATCAGAACGAATCAGAATTGCCACGGGCAAGCAAGCTCGACAGGAAGCTCGTGGTGTGTGGGCAGGGGAGCAGCGGAGAGCTCGGCAGACGAGCCGTGGTAGGATCACGACCCCTGGACTATTCCATCGGTAATGCGTGCACAACGGCCCAACAGGACTGCTGCCTGGATTGTGAAAAGGAGACGAGTCTATTTGGCGCTTGTCCCCACCATTGCACTGTGTGTGGTGTTCCAATGACTGTGTGCAATTTAGTAGTAGGGTTCAAGCTAAGCACACCAATCATGATCTGCTCCTCATTGCTTGCTGTTGACACAATCATGTGATAGCGCCCGCTGCAAGGTCCTCAGGCAACACGGCATCCATGGGCTGGAAGGCAGCCTGAGGCTGTCCATCGGCCGTGGGATTGGCGGAGGGCGGGAAACATTCGGGCAGAGACTCGGCTAGACCTTCGGCAAGCAAAACTAACCGACTCAAACGCCATGGGCTGACGACGAGCGACTCAGTGTCAGACAGTGAGATAGCCGCTTGACGCGCAGCAGAATATATAGTCAGACCATGTGGGATCCATCATCCAAAAGAAGTGGTTCTATTCAAAGGTTTTGCGTTTAGGATATAGTGGTATGTATCCAGAGCTTGCGTGGAGCATTACACCAGTACATTACTGCACACTGCGGCACTACAGAGTACTGCTAGGGGAGGGATATTGTCCGCCAATCGGACACAAGACAGCAGTCGTGCATAATCCGTAGGCAGGTACCCATGGCCTGTCGTCCGCCAGATCATGAGATTGAACCTCGACTACGCACAAAGAATGTCATCATGGTTTACAATCCTTAGGTATCCTACTCAATCTTGAGAGCAATGCGCGTCGCCGACTGCCGGGTACTATTGAAACCGAGCCATGGTACGGAGGTCACCGGTTCCTGGACGCTACACAGCTAAGAATCAGCAGAAGGTTTCGATCTGCGTCGCCCGCACAATCGGTCCACCAGGATGCGTGAGGGCAGTCGAGGGGTTACGACGTCTCTGTGTGACCGGCCGTCTGTTCTCGAAATTCGGACAGTTTCTAAACATATATCTGCCAGCTGTGACAGGCCATCGGTTTCCCAGATCGTCGGGTCTAACCAAGGAATGACAGCGTATACGCTCTGCTAAACCGGGCCCCTTGCTTCCTGCTTAAGCTTCCGGAATATACTTTGTAGCTGGGAGATGGGGTAGATGCAAATCACATCTGGTTGCGGGGTTACTGGTTGGGGTGATTGTCCATCGCCATCTTGAGCGTTAAGATTGGGATCACGGCATGAGATGTCACCTCTGGGGGCCTGTGCTGGTATGCCTCGAAGTGTAAAGGACTATTGAAGATGCTTGAAATGGAAGAAGAAGTAAGAGGCACGGTATAGGGGGGGATGGAATAGGGGAAGGTTATTGGCGTAAACCTCCAACCGAGAGACGAGGCTTGTGCGTTCCCACTCCCACTTGGAGACCTGCAAGTTAAGTCACAGAAGGATACTCCTCCGTCCTGGGGGGTGACAGACGGATGACACCGTGAAAAACATAGTGAGCTAGTTGCCATTTGCCAAGTTAGGCTGGGGGAGGACGGGAGAATCGTCGTTAGTCACGGGGCGGGTTGCCCCTGAAGGATGATCTGCGGTGGATGATGGATGGTTCAGGGGCTAAAATGCCTGGGAGGCAACACTATCGTCTGAACGTCACGAAATCAGCTATTGTTGCAAACTGATTGGGGATGTGGGA